TAAATAAATATAAACCACACTAGCATCTTGACCCTCACTTGGCACACAAGAAGTAAGTGTGCCTTGCAAACCAGTAAAGCTCTGAATGGGCCATACTCACTCATTCAGATCACAATAAAAATTCCAAGTTAGGACCGTCACGACTAACTTTTCGACTGAAAAAAAAATAATTTCCTGTAGGTTGGTTGTCGGATGGTTTTGCATAAAGTACATTCAATACGTCAACCCGATTGGATAACATTTCATTGATTGCTAACCTTGAGGCGCTCGTCAAGCACGGTCGGCAATTTTGGATCAGGACGGTAACCAGATTTCAGTACGGAGCCCGTACAACGATAGATGAGAAGAGATATGTAGTAGATGGTGCAGTGGAGACCCAGGACGACAAATATGATCCATTTGAAGAGGGAGATAAAGAAGACGAAGGTGATGAGGCGGATAGAAACGTGCACCAATCTTGCGCAGAAGAGGAGAACCCGACCGCACATCGAGACCTTGTACTTGCCGCTCTGCAGCTCGGCCTCGGTGAAGTAGTGGAGTTCGGGATAAAACTGGCAAGCAGCAGATGCCAACCAGACAACACTGAAGATGAAGCAGCTCAGGATGGAGAAGGCTGCGCGGGAATGGACGAAGAGTTTTAAAGAAGAGTGATAAAGAGTAAAGGCGGACAGCAAAAGAAAACTGTTATGCCAATAGGCTTGGATACTCAAATTCAACTAACAAGACCTTATAAAAGCTGCTTGAAATCGACAAACAAATCTTCAATAACTCATGGAAGGAGGTTAACGTTTTTTGACGCAATCGCACTGTGCGATAACTTATACCGAATATATAAACATTTATTTCACTTGGCCCGATTGTGAAAAATGTGTGGCCTCGGTGGGAGTCAAACCCACACAGCAGGGAAGGCTTTTGCGCAGACAATGCTCTGCCATTGAGCTACGAGGCTCACCGTGCACCGTGAATTTAATCATACTTAGATCAACTTTAACCGTCCAACTTGCCGCTAGTATGGAATCCATCGTTATGGAATAGCAAACTGGCTGTACAGGCAGGATTTCCTAAATAATCATCTAGAATCCACCATAACGACTACTAGGTTCACTTCCCTGCTGTGTAGGTACGACTCCCACCGAGGCCGTGAATTTTTCACAACTGGGTCAACTGAATTAAGCAAATCTGCCAAAATTC